TAACCTCCTTGCCCATGGACTCGTTCAACCTGTATTACGCCTTCGAGTCATCCAATAACCCAATGCTGACTTAAGCCTCGTCTTTTTTGTATCATATAAGCCAAAGATATATTAATTATATAAATGTTCCAGACAATATCCAAAAAAAAATCTCACACTAGGATTAAATAGAAAACGGGTACCTTATCAATAGAAAACGGAAGCCAACCATTTCTTGCCACCCTGTACCGCATATCCGCACATGTTCTGTTTATTAATTATATCTTCAGAACGACGAAACACTTTTTAATTGTCTGCACAGCTTTAGGAGATCACCTGAATATGAACAACTTTTATTCCACGGGAGTTTTTTATTACCTGTCTCGTTTAGATGATCTATTTAAATAAACATCTTAATTTGTTCTTATCATTGAAGTTGAATTTCTTTTTATTGATCTACTTTTTTTAACTCAAGCAAATGAAAAATACATCTTAATTCATCAACCTCACCAACACCTCATAACACTACATTACAAGTTGACCTTCCTTACCCTTGAAAGTTAAACAGTTGCACAGGAGTTAACCAACTTGGTAAACCCCCCTCGTTCACATACAACGCAGACAGCATCAATATTAACTCGACCACATCAGGAACCTAGACATTAACAATCTGGGGTCACAGGGTTAAATTCACCGTGTTTAGAAGTTAAGGTTAGACAAGGTTATGGGTGTTGACTGAACTTATAAAAAGGCTCAGTATTCATTGGTGGTTATCAGTCTATTTACGGGTCAGAGATGAATTGCACTGAAATCCTTATAAGACAGAGGTACTGAAACTTTATCCATTATATCCCTGGATCACTGTAGTCACGGTAGGAGATGCAGTTATGGTCAGATATATGGAGACTTTATTAACTCAATTTACTCCAACATACCTCACTAAATTATTTTATATTTGGGTCAGCGATAAGGTTAATGATAAGGTTTACTATTATAGTAAGACAAAACTCACCAGAAGAGGATTACATATATACAGAATATTTATAGTAGAAGGAATGTAAAGAGAGGTAAAGCTTGGTAGTGTGGCTGGTTAGTTATTTGCTCTGTCAATACACTTATCTTATCTCATATGTCAATACACATATATTGTGTATCACGTAGTACTAGTACGTTCTTAAGGGACAACTTGTTAAACACCACTCTGATACAACTATTTATTAATTCACTCAATGACACGGACACATCAATATCAATATTATATCGGAGTTCTTAGCGCATTATTTTTACGTTACTCGCCACTGACTCGGACACAAACATGAAAGGAATACACTTCCTACAGTAGGTAACTCACCCTAGGAATCGCTCTGACAAAGACTCATGTGTAACCTGACCTGACGTAGGCCCAGTGGGTGCTGGCTGGGCTGCCTCCTATGGGAGACTGCTTAGCTGGTGACGCCAGGATCTCCCTCCCGACCTGGGGAGGGGACAAGCGTGACTCTACTTAAGTGAACAGAATGACGACCCGGACGGGAGAGAGATGACAGTAACCAGACTGACAGAATCACAAAGATCAGAATGAGAGGATGACAATCAGCCGAAAATAATCCGAGTGAGGCCGTGGACGGGACTGCAGGGCCTTTATATGGGCCAGGAACAGCCGGCGTTTGACCTCTGCCAATTAATACTAAACTGGTTAGATCTGGACAGCTGTGTTCAGGTGTGGTCATGCCCGGGTGTGGTTGTAGATCACCTGGCTAACTCAAGCAATTAACGGACGAAGTCAGGTCCCTTGGGTCCTGGTATGTCAGGGTACCACGAGGTCTGCAGTGTACTTGCTGTTATATGTGTTGCAATTCTCTGGGCTGTAAGCTATGGTCTGATAGTCAATCATTACACTATGCCCTTAACTCATCCATGACGACTATATGTTTTGATCAAAGTGAATCAGCAAAGTGAGGTTGATTCATTTATAAAAACGAATCCGTAAGTCGAATTGAATCACTAATAAAGCAAAGCCGTAAGTTGGGGTAAATCATATTATATTGTTTACCGGATACGGAAATGTTCTTGAATAGTAGGAAGACGAAGATGAGAATAAAGATAAAGAAGAAGGAGGAAGTATTTAAATTTCCTCACTGGTGAAGGAGTTGGGGTCAAGGAAAGGTGGAGGATTGGGGCAGAAGGAGGAGAGGAGGGAGGGCAACTGTTGGAGGATCAAGGTGGAAGGAAGGTCAGGGAGGTGGACGGGTACTTTTTGGAGAATCAGGGTACAGGGAGGGAAGGTTGGAGAGGGTGGAGCGAACTGTACCGATCAGCAGTGCCCGGCAGCTAATATTTTGCTAGAAAAAACCTAAACGGGATTGTGTCAGGTGCTACGACACTTCACCTTCCCAGGCCGCTTGTCATCAGTGTATCAGGATTATAGCGCGTTCTTTCCAAGCTGGGAAAAGATGCCCCGCCCCGCCCCTTCCTCAGGAGTTACAGCTGATTGGCTGTTGCAAATCTGTCCGATTTTGTCCTGAGTAATGATGTATTTCTAAATGAGTTTATTCCTAATCGTTGGGATGACCGTTTCTGACGAGAAAGATATTTAGCTAAATTATATAAAGATACATACCTTCATTATTTCAAACAGGAGCACGTAGGAAGTTTATCAAAAGTATTATACGTGAATTAACTGATAAACTCGGGAAGCAAATTCACGCTTTCGGAGGATGCGTATAATATATACTTATTTTTACCCACAATAAGGCATACTAAGACAAATTACATATCAGTAATAGTGCATTATGCAAAAACAACATTTTAAAAGATCAGAACCACATTGAAATATTACACGACCGTTAGCAGAGGCGGGAAATATGACTGAACTACTTCATATTTGGGTTCATATCTAGGTCTGTGAGTAACAGAACTGCTGACGTTATCTTGAAACTTTACCTAGCGTTAGTGAGGCCACACATGGATTATGCGGTTCAGTTCTGGTGTCCTTATTATAGAATGGACATAGATTCTTTGGAGAGAGTACAAAGAAGAATGACAAAAATGATCCATAATATTAGAAACCTTCCATATGAAGAAAGACTGAAAAGCTTAGGCTTACATTCATTAGAGAGGCGTAGAGTTAGGGAGATATGATAGAGGTGTACAAGTGGGTAAGTGGGATTAACAAGGTAAAATGGAAGATGTTCTGAAGCTCAATAACGAAATAACTAGAACAAATGGCTTTAAATTAGATAAATTCCGATTCAGAAAGGATATAGGCAAGCACTGGTTTGGTAATAGAGCTGTGGATATGTGGAATAGGCTACCGAGTGCTATAGTAGGATCGGGGACGCTAGGGAGCTTCAAGACGAAGTTGGATAGGCACATGGAAGTGCTGGGATGGGTGCGAAAGGGATCTGCCCTGTATGGGCCAGTCGGCCTCCTGCAGTATCCCACTTTCTTATGTTCTTATGTTCTTATATTTTTCCTGCCTCTTCTCCTAACTCAGCTGAAAAAAAAACCTCACTCTAGTGATCTATAGTATATCAGGTGCAGGTCATTTATCTCTACATTTACCAGCCAACCCGCCTCTAGTCAGTCGGTGTCAAGTTGTCAACATATCAACGGAACCACCAAGCTGAGAGGCTGTAGATGTGAGGTGACAAGATTATTATTAATTTTTTTTTTTTGGGGGGGGGGCGGAGGGTGGTAGTTAGGGTAGATGATGAGGAAGAAGATAAGAAGGAAGAAGAGGAGGAGGAGGAGGAGGAGGAGGAGTTTGCGCGGCGTGATCCCCTGAAGTTTGTTAAGTACGTCGTCTGCTAGAATAAACCCTCATTGATTCTTCCCATCATACCGAAATAACTTCCAACCTGTGATATTTTTTCTCTATATACTGTTTAAGGATTTGTTTTATGATGATCCTAACTCTCACACACACACACACACACACACACACACACACACACACACACACACACACACCATAATGTAATATCCCCTCTTCTCACCAACACACACAAGATGGGGGGGGGAGAGGAGGGGGGGTCTATGGTCGGGTCCTCTCTATCAACATGACTACACAACACACTACCACGAACGATCAGCTGTTACTCATAAACATTCATTCTAGGCCTTGAATTGTCCATCTATCTATCTATCTATATATCTATTTATCTAATCTGTCTATCTATCTATGAACGGTATATATCTATTTTTTTTACCAATCTGTCTGTCTGTCTGTCTGTCTGTCTCTTTTTTTTACGTCCTGTCTTTAGCGAACATATTCTCACCTTCCGCTGTACCGTAAAGTGTTGGGTTACGGCTTATGTCACGCCTCGCCTGCTACTTTTAACTACCCTCCCCACCGCCCTCCCACTTGTCACCTTGTCCCTTCCCACACCCACGAGGCCCACTTCCCACCAGCCACACCCAACCAACCACACATAAAACATCAACAACCACAACACATCCCCCACAACCAACACCACTACCCACATCTCACTACTAACACCGCATATCCTAACACGACTACAGTCCACCAGCCCATTCCAACACACAAAGCTCTGGGAAAACTCGGCCACACCACAGGAATCGGTTTAAACCCCCCCCCGTGTCCACCGTATTGGGATTCTGAACAACCATTTCCGACCTTAACGAGATTCTGGCGGTGCTGCTCATCCCTTTATAATAACCTCTCAGAAACTATTACAGTACCATGATTAGTGAAATGTCCAGAAACTCTCGCCGTAGGATATTCCCTTAGAAGGACTTCCTCTCTAGAAACAACCGTAGGATACATCTAAGAAATTTTCAACTCTACCCACGACCATAGGATGTTACAGAATGGACTCCCCCCTACGCCGCCAAAGGCCTCGCTCTCCCCTCCTCCTTTCACTATCCTTACCCCCCCTTCCCCCCCCCCATCACCCCCCCACACACTTGTCCTATGTTTGTTATCATGGAAGCTTCCTAGTATCAGCTGGGAGAGGTGACGTCACATTGTGCCTGTGGTGAGCGGGTGCCGAGCAGTCTAGGCTCAGCCTCCGTGTGAGTAGGTGGTGTGAACACAGCTCCGCCAGTCTTAAAAAGTTTACTTTGTATGAGAGAAGCAGCCAACAGGTGGGTGTCAATTTACTTCATCTCAGGTGTTGTAGAGTTTGATAATTTATGATGTATTAATCAGTTTTCCAAGAGCATTATTATCGTCACGTTTTTAGTAGGTCGAGTATAATTTGTCTTCGCCGATGTAAACAAAAACACGATGGACTTTTTGGCCGAATTTCGAAAAGTGGGTCGATCATGATGGTTTATAATGATGAAAGCGGAGGATGAACATGAAGAGAATCACAACCACAACCATATGGGCGGCGGAGAACACCTGCCTGTACTGTACTGTACAGCCTCGGTACGGGAAGGCGATGAGTTAATGGTAAATACAATACCACAAAACCGGAAGCACATGATTATGAGACAACATCCAACACTCTTGTGGCTCTGTCAAGACACGTGGATACGTAGACACGTGTGGATACGTCAACACACGTGGATACGTTGACACATGTGGATACGTTGGCACATGTGGATACGTTGACACGTCGACACAAGTGGATACGTCGACACAAGTGGATACGTCGACACATGTGGATACGTCGACACATGTGGATACGTTGACACAAGTGGATACGTTGACACAAGTGGATACGTCGACATATGTGGATACGTTGGCACATGTGGATACGTCGACACATGTGGATACGTTGACACAAGTGGATACGTCGACACGTGGATACGTCGACACATGTGGATACGTTGACATGTGGATATGTCAGCATACGTATTTTTCAAATGTGTGTGACCTGTGTGGCACTCAGGATGCGACTTCACCTCTCCTCCCTCACCACTCACCTCTCCTCCCTCACCACTCACCTGTCCTCCCTCACCACTCACCTGTCCTCCCTCACCACTCACCTGTCCTCCCTCACCACTCACCTCCTCCCTCCTCACCTGTCCCTCACCACTCACCTGTCCTCCCTCACCACTCACCTGTCCTCCCTCACCACTCACCTCTCCTCCCTCACCACTCACCTGTCCTCCCTCACCACTCACCTCTCCTCCCTCACCACTCACTTGTCCTCCCTCACCACTCACCTCTCCTCCCTCACCGCTCACCTGTCCTCCCTCCCCTCACCTCCCGTACCACTCACCTGATACACTTGCAGCCAGCACCTAAGTTCACCTGTGGGTCGTGTTACATAGTTCAATACACCTGACTCGTAATGGCAGACCATCATTTATTACATTATATGCAGCAGTTATTTGTTTTTCCAGTGACGTGAAAATGACACTCTCAATCCTGACAAATTGGATACCGGGACAAGTTTTTGTAAGTGATTGCGCTTTTAAGCAGTTCTTCTCATAAGTAAAGCTCGGCCAACTTTTATAAGTTTCTATACTTGTACTTTATCATTTCCGTCCTGATATTGGCGTTACTTTATACTATGTCATAATACTAGCAGTACTCTATACCTGTGCCATAATACTAGCAGTACTCTATACCTGTGCCATAATACTAGCACTACTCTATACCTGTGTCATAATACTAGCAGTACTCTATACCTGTGCCATAATACTAGCAGTACTCTATACCTGTGCCATAATACTAGCAGTACTCTATACCTGTGCCATAATACTGGCATTACTCTATACCTGTGTCATAATACTAGCAATACTCTATACCTGTGTCATAATACTGGCACTACTCTATACCTGTGTCATAATACTAGCAGTACTCTATACCTGTGTCATAATACTAGCAGTACTCTATACCTGTGCCATAATACTAGCACTACTCTATACCTGTGCCATAATACTAGCAGTACTCTATACCTGTGCCATAATACTAGCAGTACTCTATACCTGTGTCATAATACTGGCATTATTATACACCTGTGTCATAATACTAGCACTACTCTATACCTGTGCCATAATACTGGCATTACTCTATACCTGTGTCATAATACTAGCAGTACTCTATACCTGTGTCATAATACTAGCACTACTCTATACCTGTGCCATAATACTAGCACTACTCTATACCTGTGTCATAATACTGGCATTATTATACACCTGTGTCATAATACTAGCAGTACTCTATACCTGTGTCATAATACTGGCATTACTCTATACCTGTGTCATAATACTAGCAGTACTCTATACCTGTGTCATAATACTAGCACTACTCTATACCTGTGCCATAATACTAGCACTACTCTATACCTGTGCCATAATACTAGCAGTACTCTATACCTGTGCCATAATACTAGCAGTACTCTATACCTGTGCCATAATACTAGCACTACTCTATACCTGTGCCATAATACTAGCACTACTCTATACCTGTGCCATAATACTAGCAGTACTCTATACCTGTGCCATAATACTAGCAGTACTCTATACCTGTGTCATAATACTAGCACTACTCTATACCTGTGCCATAATACTAGCACTACTCTATACCTGTGTCATAATACTAGCAGTACTCTATACCTGTGTCATAATACTGGCATTATTATACACCTGTGTCATAATACTAGCACTACTCTATACCTGTGCCATAATACTAGCACTACTCTATACCTGTGTCATAATACTAGCAGTACTCTATACCTGTGTCATAATACTAGCACTACTCTATACCTGTGCCATAATACTAGCACTACTCTATACCTGTGTCATAATACTAGCAGTACTCTATACCTGTGTCATAATACTAGCACTACTCTATACCTGTGCCATAATACTAGCACTACTCTATACCTGTGTCATAATACTAGCAGTACTCTATACCTGTGCCATAATACTGGCATTATTATACACCTGTGTCATAATACTAGCAGTACTCTATACCTGTGCCATAATACTAGCAGTACTCTATACCTGTGCCATAATACTAGCAGTACTCTATACCTGTGCCATAATACTAGCACTACTCTATACCTGTGTCATAATACTAGCAGTACTCTATACCTGTGTCATAATACTAGCACTACTCTATACCTGTGCCATAATACTAGCACTACTCTATACCTGTGTCATAATACTAGCAGTACTCTATACCTGTGCCATAATACTGGCATTATTATACACCTGTGTCATAATACTAGCAGTACTCTATACCTGTGCCATAATACTAGCAGTACTCTATACCTGTGTCATAATACTAGCAGTACTCTATACCTGTGCCATAATACTAGCACTACTCTATACCTGTGTCATAATACTAGCAGTACTCTATACCTGTGCCATAATACTGGCATTATTATACACCTGTGTCATAATACTAGCAATACTCTATACCTGTGTCATAATACTGGCACTACTCTATACCTGTCATAATACTGGCACTACTCTATACCTGTGCCATAATACTGGCACCCACCTAACGCTATACTCCACGTCATGACTCACAAGACGATGCCAGTTCACACACGAGATTGGTGACCGCAGGTGGCACAGGTGAGGACCGCGACAGGTAGAGTCTCCCGAACGGTAATAAAAACTACCTTGAAATAACCACAGTGAATTTAAGTTGAATTAGTACCTGAAGATTAGCTCCCCTCAGCTTATTTCAGGTTAAGATTAGCCACATTAATGTTAACCTAACTTAACCTAACGCTAATCTAAGTACCTAACCTTACGCTTACTTAACCTAACCTAACCTAAAATTCATCTAACACATTTTGGGAAGATAAGTGTTAGGTTAAGTATATTTAGGTTAGGTTAGCGTTAGGTTAAGTATATTTAGGTTTGGTTAGCGTTAGGTTAAGTAAATTTAGGTTTGGTTAGCGTTAGGTTAAGTAAATTTACCTTTGGTTAGCGTTAGGTTAAGTAAATTTAGCTTTGCTTAGCGTTAGGTTAAGTGAATTTAGGTTTGGTTAGCGTTAGGTTAAGTAAATTTAGCTTTGGTTAGCGTTAGGTTAAGTAAATTTAGCTTTGGTTAGCGTTAGGTTAAGTAAATTTAGGTTAGGTTAGCGTTAGGTTAAGTTATAAAGTAAGATTAGGTTAGCGTTAAGTTAGGTAAGACGAGGTTAGATTAGCGTTAGGCTAAGTAAGATTAGGTTTGGTTCGTCTTAGGTTAACATAGGTAAGCTTAGTTAGGTAAGATAAGGTTAGGTTAGGTTAGCCATATTGATAGAAATAGTGAAGACTTGAAAATAGCGGAGGATGGATGACAGCGGCAGAGGAGGGACCCAGATGGCGGAGAAAGTGGCGAAGACAATCGCTGACCTAGACCAACCTAACCTATCCCAACAACCTAACTCCCTATTGAAATATGCTAGAAGTCGCGGGCTAATTTTCACATGACCTCCTAAATACTACCACTACTACTACTACTACTACTACTACTACTAATAATGATAATGATAATAATAAATAATAAATAGTAATAATGAAAATAATAATAGTTAATACTACTACTACTACTACTACTACTACTACTACTACTAATAATAATAATAATAATAATAATAATAATAATGATAATAATAAATAATAAATAATAATAATGAAAATAATAATAGTTAATAATACTACTACTACTACTACTACTAATAATAATAATACAAAATAATGCTAATAATAATAATATTAAATAATAATAATAATAATAATAAATAATAACAATAAAAATAATGATAACAATAATAATAATAACAATTAATAATAATACAATTCTTCCTGGTTTGGTCCAAGTTATGTCAACATATATATCGGCTGAAGGTAGTGAACTAATCGTCATGCCATCCTTTCGCCACGCCCAACACACCCAAAAAAAATTTGTTTTAATCTCTTCCTGGTATAGACAAAGAAAATATATTGAAATGTATATTCTAATAGGATCATGTTATCCTTCTATAATCATTCCTGCTTTAACATGATGTACTATTGTAACATATAACAGGACTTGAAAGAAACAATGGGTGTGTAATTGCCGTTCCACCGATACATTTAACTCTCTCTCTCTCAGTGTCAACAGGAAGTGTATTTTGCAGGTACAATTTACATAAGGAGGGGTATTGACTCCTGTGGGTGGTAGATGGTAGATAAAGAGGGGTATT